AAGCAGGGCCGAGGCCCTCGAAGCAGGGCCTGGGCAGCTGCACGTGCAGGGGGCACATGAGGGACCCTCAAAGCAGGGCCTGGGCAGCTGCACGTGCAGGGGGCACATGAGGGACCCTCAAAGCAGGGCCTGGACAGCTGCACATGCAGGGGGCACGTGAGGGACCCTCTGCCAGGGCCCTGACGTGGCTCTGTTCTCTTCCAGCCTGTGCTCTCACTGTGACGCTGCCCATGAGCCTGTACAACTTCTACAAGTGAGTTTTTGGGATCCCAGGGTGGTTTGGGTGGGAAGGGACCTTAAATCTCACCCAGTCCCACCCCCTGCCATGGGCAGGGACACCTTCCACAAGCCCAGGTTGCTCCAAGCCCCATCCAACCTGGCCTGGGACACTTCCAAGGATCCAGGGGCAGCCACAGCTTCTCTGGCCAACCTAGGCCAGCCCCTCCCCACCCTCCCAGCCAGGAATCCCTTCCCAATCTCCCATCTCTCCCTGCCCTCTGGCAGTGGGATCCATTCCCTGTGTCCTGTCCCTCCATGCCTTGTCCCCAGTCCCTCTCCAGCTCTCCTGGAGCCCCCTCAGGTATTTCCTGGAGGCAGCACCGGGGATCTCCCATTGATTCCATGTATTTTCGTTTCTTTCCTTGTGTTCCAGGGCCTATAAAAGCAACACCTTGAAGCACCACTCTGTGTATGAGATCCTGCTGCCCCTCGTGTCCCCGGTGCTGCTGTTCCTGCTCTGCACCACGTGGATCTTCCTGTCCCCCTCTGACATCCTGGAGGTCCAGCCCAGGCTCTTCTACTTCATGGTTGGAACAGCCTTTGCCAACATCTCTGTGAGCAGCTTTTGCTTTATGTTTGAGAAACTGGAAAATTAGTTAAATTGAGTGTTCTCAGAGGCTTGTGCACCCTCTGTGCTGTGAGCAGCAAAGTGCTGATGGGAAGGGAGCTCCTGCTTCATTTTTGGGGGTAAATGTAAAAGGGGAGGGACTGATTTTTTGGTCAGAATCTGATCTAGCTGCATGTTCACAGATTTGCAGAATCCTTGAGGTTGGGAAGGGCTTTTAAGATCATCAGGTCAAGCTGATCCCCCAGCACTGCCCTGGCTGATCCACACTGAGCCATGTCCCCAAGTGCCACATCCACAGGGCTTTTAAATCCTGCCGGGGATGGGGCTCCACCACCTCCCTGGGCAGCTGTGCCAGAGCTGGACAGCCATTTCCATGCAGGAATTGTCCCAATATCCCACCTGACCCTCCCCTGGCACAGCCTGAGGCCGTTCCCTCTCCTCCTGTCCCTTGTTCCCTGGGAGCAGAGCCCGACCCCCCCTGGCTCCCCCCTCCTGTCAGGGAGTTGTGGGGCAGGAAAAGGTCCCTCCTGATCCCTCTTTTCTCTGGGATGAGCTCCCGCAGCTCCCTCAGATATTCCCGCTGCTCCAGCCCCTTCCCAGCTCCCTTCCCTTCCCTGCCCACGCTCCAGCCCCTCCCTGTGTCTCCTGTGTGAGGTCCCAGAGCTGCCCCAGCACTGGAGGTGCCCCAGCAGTGCCAGCACAGGGACACCCCCCGTGCCCTGGGGACAGCACCCTGGGCCCCATGGCCCCCGGCCCGTGCTCAGGCCGTGCCCTGTCCCCAGTGCCAGCTGATCGTGTGCCAGATGAGCAGCACGCGGTGCCGGCCCCTGCACTGGATGCTGCTGCCCATCGCGGCCGCGCTGCTGCTCGTCGCCTCGGGGCTGGCGGCCCACAGCGAGACGCTGCTGCTCTACCTGCTGACGGCCTTCCTCACCCTGGCACACATCCACTACGGCGTGCTCGTGGTACGTGGGGCTCGGGGCCGCTGCTCCGCTGCCGGACGGGGCGGGGAATGGGGCGGGGGAAAGCGGGAGCGCGGGTGGGAACGGCCCGGGGGTGCTGCCCGGGGCTGCCTGCAGTGTGGGCCGGATCCCTGCAGGGTTGCAGGGGTCTGAGACCTGCTGTACCCCCGGGGCTGTGTCGCGGGAGCTGGAAACAAACCCTGGAATCCCGGGATGGTTTGGGTTGGGAGGGAACTTAAAGTCATCCGGTGCCACCCCCTGCCACGGGCAGGGACAACTTCCACTAGCCCAGGTTGCTCCAAGCCCCGTCCAACCTGGCCTTGGACACTTCCAGGGATCCAGGGGCAGCCACAGCTTCTCTGGGAATTCCATTCCAGTCCCTCCCCAGCCTCACAGGGAAGAATTCCTTCCCAATCTCCTGTCTCTCCCTGCCCTCTGGCACTGGGAAGCCATTCCCTGTGTCCTGTCCCTCCATCCCTTGTCCAGAGTTCTTTTCCAGCTCTCCTGGAGCCCCATCAGGCACTGGAAGGAGCTCTGAGGTCTCCCAGTGAGGTCTCCAAGGTGCTGGGAGAGCCAGGATGGAGGGGGGATGTCCCTGGTAGGGAAAGTGGGAACACTGGAGCTGCAAAGCCACCTCCCCTGCTGTCAGGGCTGAGATCCAGGGATTTGCTCCTCTTGCTCTGCCTGAGTTCTGATCAAGAGGGAAAACAAACTTGTAGAAGACCCAAGTCCTGTCAGGAATGCCCCAGGAAGCTGCTGAGGGTAAGGAAGGAGGACAAGCAACCCCGTGTCCCCTGCCAGGCTGGGGACACCCTCCTTGGGAAGCCCCTTCTCCTGGGAAGTCCAGCTCCAACATGGAGCCTCAGAGCGGAGTTCCAGCTGTAGTTCCAGCCAGGAGTAACAGCCAGGTTGTCCTGTCTTTCCAATCAGGGCAAAGAGGCTCCTGTGCAAGAAGGATTTGTGTAACTAAGAAGCTTAAAAGAAGTTTGGTCTTGGAATCACAGCTGGAGATGGGACTGACCGGGTGGGGAAATCCTCCTGCCCATCTTTGCCCATCCCCTCCCAGGAGCCTCCCAGAGACTGTTCCCCTCCTTCCCTCCCTCCAGCTTTCCGGGGGCCCATCCGTCCCTTCTTCCAGGATAAAAGTCACTTGGAGCTGAAGAGCCTTTAAAGGCTTTGTGACTGGGGCATAACCCCAAACTGCTCCGAATTTGGGAGGGATGATTAGGAACAAACCCTCTGTTCCCAGCTCAGCCTCCTTCCACGGGAAACATCCGCCCCCCAATTTGAATGGATTCAGGGATGGTTTTTTATATAGTAATCTGAGATATCAAATTAATTTCAGCAAAATAATGAAAGCAATGCTGGGAGGAGCAGAGAAGGAGCAGGGTAAAATGTGAGGGGGAAAATCCTGCAGGCCTGGGCTCAGGGCAGCATTCCCGACCCCTGGCCCTCGGGAGGGCAGGAACAGCAGTGAGCCTGATTCCAGGTGGGCCAGGAACAGCAGTGAGCCTGATTCCAGGTGGGCCAGGAACAGCAGTGAGCCTGATTCCAGGGAGGCCAGGCTGTTACCTGGGGAGGTGTGGGAAGGCAGCAGGGCTGCTCCCTGTGCCTGGCCAGCCCCGACACCAGGGACACAGATCCGTGGGGAGTTTGCAGGGTGGGCACAGGGGGTGCAGGGGGTGGCAGGGGCGTGTTCCTGGGAGCAGGTCTGGCTCTCTGCCCTCTCCCCTCGGCCCTGCCAGCCTGGCTAACCCGTTCCTGTGTGTGCCCCGTCCCCAGGTGAGCCAGCTGAGCAGGCACTTCAACATCCGGCCCTTCTCCCTCAAGAAGCCCACCCCGGACTGACTAGGGCTGGAGGAGGAGAGAGTGGGCCTGCGCTCCGCAGAGGGACTGTAAATACCTGCTGCAAACCCCTGTAAATACTTCGGCCATCCCACAGACCCAGCCTCCTCCCCCTGGACGGGCACCAGGGCCGGGACACGCTGGGGACACTCCCACCCTCCTCTGGCACCACAAAGGGGCTTCGCCTGGAGCTGGAGCAGGAGGAGCCTCCAGGTCACTGCTACTGTATCTGAGACCAGCTGAATGTTCCCAGGGAAACGTCCAACTGTATCTGAGACCAGCTGAATGTTCCCAGGGAAACGTCCAACGCCGGCTCTTGCTCAGGTAAAGCTGGACGGGGATGCAAAGGCTTTACCTGAGCAAAGCCCCTCTGGGCCTGTCACCAAAACCAACACGGGGCTCGTTTCTCCCAGGTCGGGGGAACATCCTGGTGGTCGGGGCAGTTCCTGGCTGTCCCCAGCCCTGCTGGACAGCCCTCGGCCTGGGCTGGTACCTCTGGGGCACATGGTGACAGCTCTCCCACGTTCTCTCCTGCCTTCCTGCATTTGGGCAAATATTGCACCCTTTTTAAGAAGGGGGGGAAAAAAACCCCCCCAGACACACACAAAACTTGTAGTTAAATCCTGACTGATGGGGGGGAGGGCTTAAAAAGTCAGGGCTCAATTTCCTGTAAGAGTGGGACTGTGGCTTCTGCCTGCCCTGCTCGAGCTGTGGGTGCCTGGGACCACATCTCAACCACATCCCTGCCTGTCCGTGTGTGTTCCCAGTCCAGGAATGGGGTTTGGGCTCCCAGTGGCCAGGGGAAGTGTCTGAGCCCACAGGGCTGAGCTCCCACGTCTTCCTCCCAGCAGGGCTGTGCTGTTGTGGTCGGCTCTGCGGGTCCTTGGCTGCCTGAGCCACCACTCCCAGGCACAGCCCGGCCCTTCCCACCAGCGCTTCCACCGCCTGGAGAAGCACCCGGAGCCTCGTGTTGGTTGTGTGTGCACCTTCAGAGCCCTCACTGGGGGGGGGTGTGGTGGGAACCCTCCCAAATCCCACTGTCTCCTCGTCCCCGGCGGCCGCGTGTCTCATCCAGGGATCTCTTTGTTTACTGTCCGCTTGTCCAAGACGTGTGTGCGTTGATCTGACTTTTTGTTTTTATGATTGAGTTCGAGTGGGGTGGTGAAGACTGAATGCTGATTTCCTTTTCCTGTTGGCTTGATTTAATGCAGACCTGTGCTTGAATGAAGAGTGTAGCTTAAAGCCAGGCTCTGGAAAGGCTGCATCCGGAAGCGAACAAGCACAGCAGATAGTGCAGGTGTAACTGCCATGGGAACAAAGTCCTCCAGACTCTGATTACTGTGCAACGTGGGGCACAACAGCCTGGTCAGGGCGTTTTCCTTCTGCAGGAGGAGGCTCCTGCTGCTCTAGGAAACCTCCGACATGTGAGTTACAGCAGCAAGTAACTGCTGTCTGATGGGTTTGCTTTTGTAAATTGGAATCACTGTCACGCAGGAGACGAGACTTGAAACCCTGAGGTTGAGCTCGTGAGTTCGTGGGGCTCAACTCGGGGCCACTTGGTCACCCCTTGGTCGGCCCATGGTCACATGGTACGGCCTGTGAGGAGCAACTGGGGCCTCCCCCAGGGCTGAGGGATGAACAGGTACCTCCCCCTGGGCTGAGAATGAACAGGTACCTCCTCCCTGGGCTGAGGAACAGACAGGTACCTCCCCCTGGGCTGAAAATGAACAGGTGCCTCCCACTGGGCTGAGGAACAAACAGGTACCTCCCCCCGGGCTGAGAATGAACAGGTGCCTCCCCCAGGGCTGAGGAACAAACAGGTACCTCCCCCTGGGCTGAGGAGTGAGCAGGTACCTCCTGAGGGCTGAGGAACAAACAGGTACCTCCCCAGGGCTGAAAATGAACAGGTACCTCCCACTGGGCTGAGAATGAACAGGTACCTCCCCCAGGGCTGAGGAACAAACAGGTACCTCCCCCAGGGCTGAGGAACAAACAGGTACCTCCCCC